GATCAACGGCCCGATGGGATGGCTGAAGGATCTGAATGGTTGGCTGTGGGTCGCATTAGGGAACCCCGCCCATAAGCCCGTGATCCCAAATGTCAGTACGGTAACGTCTTGCTCCGATAGGGCCCCTTGAAACAGAGCGTTCCTCTATTTCGGCCAGAGATCACGAACAACAAACAGCCAGTTCGATGCTGGTCTAAACCTGGGGCCAATTTCCCAAGCAGGGACAAGGGCGGGCACGCGCTTTACCTTGGTCGGGCTCCTATGATGTTCAGCGGCCCACAGTGCCAAACAGAGCGCTTTGTATCAACAAGGGGTCTCGAATCAGTCAGAGGAAGATTTGCTCAGCAGGGACGAGGACCGGAGCCAGAATGGCAGGGGTCTCTTGCGTTGGTCGGGGTTCTCTGACAATTGAAGGAAGCAAAAGATCTTATGATGAGTGCTCACATTGGGGTAATAGAGGAGTCCTGGGTCAGTCAGGGCTAGAGTACCGAACGATGGGCCCTCCAGCTCTGTACCAGCATCGGCCCGTTAAGCCCATCTGGAGTCTATGTACCAATTATTTGACCATCCTCGGCGAGCAGGTTGTTGTTGCGTCAATGACGGTTCATGCGGCGGTCCGGCGTCAACTGCGCGGGTCAGACGGCCTTCCGCATCAGGGAGCGGACCAATGTGATATGACGCATCCCTCCAAGGGCTCCGGATCGGCCAGGGGATGCCGCACCGTGTCGCCAGACATGACCGCCGGAAATCCACACACCCACACCAACATCACACACCACACCCACACACCCACCCACCCACCCACCCACACCCACACCCATACTCATACCCACACCCACACCCACCTACACCCACACCCACACCCACACCCACGCACACGTACACGCACACACACACACACACACACACACACACACACACACACACGCACACACACACACACACGCACACACGCACACGCACACACACACACGCACACACACACACACGCACACACACACACACACAAACACACACACACACACACACACACACACACACACACACACCACACACACACACACACACACACACACACACACCTTTACTGGAAACAAGGGGACTCATTAGTGTTGAAGGACTGGGTCGAAATTAGTTCTAAACGCAAAAGGCCATCCCATGTTTGCCTGAGAGCGTTCATTATTTTGCAGAATCGACTAGTGAAACAAATGCCATCCAAAGGTTTGAGCATGCGACCCGAGTGCCGACAGTGTAGCGGTTAATGCGCCTACGTTTACCGCTGCGCATCTGGGAAACCACCGGTACCGGGTTCGATTCCGCGCGGTGCCCGCCCTTCGTGCAAGGCTGAGAGGCTGGCGGCGCCATATAATCCCAGCAGCTGAGTGCGTCATAAAGCCCCAATGGCACACCCGTAATTTCTGGGAAGAAAGGATAGCGATGGCTCGGGTAGCAGTTTTCGAAAGACCGAACGGCGTTGGCCACTGCAAGTAACGTCAGGGGACGGGCACCGAGCGCACAACAATGACTGTCATGAAATAGTGTTTCTGAAAGTCTTTCAAAATCAAGTTCTACAGCTCAAAGATTTTAGTGGGCGAATCTTCTTTTACAACTTTGAGGATGTCCTCTGGACAGATTAACAGTTACAGTAACACGACAAGTAGAGATTTTACCTTAACTCCTCCAACTTTACCACCAGATTCCAGCACAACTTTGCGGTGCTGTAAAGATCAATACGTTATTGTCAGCAATGTGAAAACCGCACGGGTAAAAAATAAGCCCGGAACATCTCTAAGTCTGCGATTTGGTGTCGCAAAGCATTCAAAGGTACTTCCCTAAGGTGCGTCACCATTCCCATCAACCTGTTGGCCACGGCCTTATGTCAGCCGCGGCGCCGTCACCACGCAGCCTTAGAAGACGGTAACGCCTGGCATCGATTTTTTTGTTATATAAAGGATCTGTGTACGCGCATGCATAAAACTATATTACATAATTTCTACCACGTATCATTCTGACTGAATGTCTAACATATCCAGAAAAGCAGAACTTGGCCATGTTAATTCAAATCCTTGACCCATTTTGATCTTTAACACGCGTCCGAGCGGCCAGTTGGATACTCCTCGTGCGGGTGGGAGTCAGTTTGACCCCCTGGGATTTCAGGAATTAGTAGAGCTAGAGACACCAAATTCACAGTGTATTGCCGGTACTGAACTCATATATCCAAAGTTAAGATTCCCTAGATCATGCCCTCAGGTCAAATGATGGTCAACAAGGTCATCTATGGGCCGGGTCCCAAAGTGCCCTGTGAACCTAGGATACCCTGTTTTTAGGCAAAAGGCCATGCTGCTCATTTCAGGTCTGTGACCCTGTTTGACCTTTCGAAAGGTCTATGCCGATCAAAAATCATACAAGACTGCTTTGAGCATTGCAATTTGAATAAGCGGCAAAGATTACACTAAGCAGTATGTTTCAAAAATTGGCCTGGGTCATTTTAGGGTCAGTGGCTCCTAATCTAACCTTTGAAAAGCCCATGCAATATATATAATGCGGTTCCTGATATTGATGACTTTAAAATGAGCATCAGAAGTTATCCCATACAGACAGCCATACATACATACATGCGTATAGACATACAGACTGTTATAACGGCATAATAACGTCATTCAAATCTTGCCATTCCATAACTCATGCGGCAGTCAAGGCCAAGAAAAGCATAGTCGCCGAGGTGTTCATATCTGGCGTTCGTAAGCACGATTTCCAGATATAACGGCCGTCAGTTGGTCCTCAAACATTGTTGTGCAAGGTACGATGTCGTAATCAAACCATGGCGCATTGAGGAGCATATTTACTCAAACAGAGAATTATGCTGTCCAGAACACTTTTTTATTTAAAAGGTGTCCTTATTTTATCAGGTATCTTAAAGGCTTATTAAAGGTAAAAAGTTCGGTATCTTCAAACGTCAAAACATTCCTTTAAGGCGCTTCGATTGCAACTGGTAATGGTACGTTTAGTCGAGGCACGTGTAGTGGCAAAAGCTTAGCACGGTGTTACGCGCTTATTTTTAACCACGGAGCGACGCTGTTACTCGGCGGCCCGATTGAAAACGGTTTTGTCAGCTTTTGCTTAGAACAAATATCTAGCTTTACGGCTGATGCATGCGAAGGCCCGGGGCATTTGACACATCATTCCAGGAGTTTCTACTTTGTTTGACTTTATTTGACCCAACTGTAATTATCCAAGTATCTCAGATTTTGACATAATTGAGCTCACGCACAGATTTAACCTACCCTGTGAACTTGGTGACTAGCTATCTTAGATTTTAAGATACGTGTGAGTGGCGGCAAATTGATACCGCCCCCACCCGAGCAGAGGGTATTTAACTGGTCACCCCCCAGCGTGTGTGTAAGAGAGGCGATGGAAAAAATAAGAAGTGGATGGGCCGGGAAGACAGATACAACCTGACCTCGCATGATTTCACAGCTAGCAATGCCTGAATAACTTCTGAGCCGTATGTATGCAGCTCAGAACTGAAACTTTCCAACAAATGTCACCGGTGCAAATGCCATTTTTTTACTGTTTCTTTCCCGTGCACCCGCATACCAAACCTTACTTTTTCGTTTGCAATCTTAGGCCGTTGCTGTCCCCCAAATGCATAGCATGGAAGAGAGTGCTCCACATTTATGTGGCGGTTTGAACTGAAATAGCCAATTTGAAGATTTTTTCGTGCAGCGCACAGCCTTGTCACTTTAAAGACCTAAGCTCTTCTTATTTCTGAGCTACACGGCCGCGAAGATGTGCAGGCTATTTTGAGGGAATCTTTCAGTCACCCAGTCATTTATGACGCCATAAAAACGACATTCATACCCGGTCAACTCATTGGCCACGCGGCCAAGATCAAGGTCAAGAGAAATATAACCGTCGGGTCGTTCACATGGCTTATGAATATATCATGCTTTCGTGAGCACGATTTCCACTTATAAGAACAGACAGTGGGCTCTAAATCAATGCTGTTCAAGTTGCGAAAAAGTAATCATACACCGGCGTATTGATAAGCGTATTTACCAAGCGGAGAAAATATGTTGTCTACAGCACCATTTTCCACTTAAAAGCATGTCATCAGTCATAAGCGAGCTAATTCCATCATAGCTCATGCTTTCTTCAACACCTTCACATGTGCAACGTTTGTGGATTACAGTCCTTCAGGCTCTCAAATGCAGATAAAAAACGACAGCGGAGTTCTGCAAGTCGTGCTGGAAAAGGCGCTGCAGTCTTATATAGATGGATTTTTAGCAGGGACCATGCAAATGCTCCTCGAAGTTTTTGGCGAGTTGTGCCCTGCTTATTCCCTTAGGAATAACGTAAGATTTTCAGAGTTTAACGATCAGCCTCAGCGGTAGTTTTCTCAACCAAGGATGTTGGGTGCACGTACGCAAATGTTCACCCGGAGTGATAAGCAGTCAACGGCGCAATATGCCCATGCTACCCTGCATGCGGCCAGCAGAGCCGGTGCAGTTTTGTTATGCTGCCGGAGCCGGAGCACCAGAATTGCAACATTGCTAGATTTAGTCACAGTTTCAGACAGTCAAGTTCCTAATCCACTAATTTCTTATTTCAGATCCCAATACTTACCCAGATGTGATGATGTGTCTACCAACAGCCATTGATATTGTATTACTGTCATAATCATTAAATGAAATTGGTATCTAGAATCGTTGTGCCGGCGGCGAATTCGAGATATCATACGATTTGGCATAATCCTGCCGCCCACCTGATGTCAAAGTGCCTTGACGCTGAGTGATACATTACTCCTGTCTCCTCACCTTGGCCCGCCGGGAGACGGATAGGGTGTCTAGCTGGGGCTCTCTGGCATGCAAATCAGTGGCCACGCGGCGGATAGTCACGTGACAAGTGCTGACCAATGCGGTGCCCTGTCCTCGCGGTGTCATTTGCATAACACGCCTTGTGTCAAGTGCGGGGTGAAGGTAGCCGGGGGCCAGGCCAGGCTCTCGTTGAGTATAAAATGTTGCGGGGCCCGTGGTTGAGCACCAGTCCGAACGGAACAACTCGCATCATGAAGCTGGTAAATCCACTTGCAATACGGTTTTGTATTTGACTTTGTGAATTGATCATTTGTTGTGTGACCAGGGCAGTGGCTGGTGCTATTCACGTGGAAGACTAACGATTGTTCGTGTGGTAACCAACCAGCCGTATGGCCAGCCTTGCCGTATGATCTCGGTTATTTGTTGTTAGATAATGCCATGAAACAGTTCACTCTCAATGAGCATTTCTCCAATACGGTTTCTCCTTTTGCCTGTCTGTCTAGAACCATCTTATTTCCTTGTGGTCATTGTTTATGGGACCAGCACCAATAGCTGCTTTTTGAAAACGGACGTTGGGCCCTACTAGCCGTTTCCTTCGATTGCCAGTGCCTATGTGCACTACAGCCGCCAAGTTTCGTTTTCTGTAAGTGGTATCTCCTAATATGTGAATTTTAAACTCGGACTGGGTTGTTAGACATAAAATGTCTTGTCCATGTGATGTTTTCTATTGGTCTCTTTTTAATCGAAGTGTAACACTACTTGACATTCGTCAAGAACGGATAACGATCTTTGGCAAATGCCCGTCCGATAACTCCGATTATCGTTATCACGACGCCAATGCCGACAAAAATATGCTGGAGTTAGCAGGTGACCCACTGCACGTGCCATCGCTCGCCGAGGACCATTTCAAGCTTTGCTGAATGAGTAACGCTACATTGCTGGAAAAGACGAAATGATGTGCGCCTCTGGTGATCCATCCTTCCGCAAATCAATTGCCTACCTCGTCATAGTAATCCGTGACCTGTAATACTTGTGAACACAGGTTCGCTGTCATCCGTCACTGCAATGTTGACCATTTCCAGCATTTTCGCACTTTCGTTGACCATGGCACATTTCCAGTTGCTGCTGTGCCTGTGTGTTGCGGTGGCCGTGGCGGCGCCCCAGAACACCGCCGAACTGCTGCGCATGGACAGCACGCAGAACGAGGACGGCTCATTCCAGTACGCCTTCGAAACCACCGACCCCATCTCCGTGGAGACCTCCGGAGCGCCCAAAAATATCGGCGAGGAGGTCGGCATCGCCATGCAGGGCAGCTACAGCTTTGAGACACCCGAAGGACAGACCATCACCATCAACTGGGTCGCCGATGAGAACGGTTTCCAGCCCTCTGGAGACGCTATTCCAGTGGCGCCCCAGTGATATGTGGGCTCACATCGCCCCTGACGCCATATGATCATTTGAAATCACCAACTTTAGCACGCTGAAAAGAGGGGCATGCTGTTTTCACGGTTGTAATATACGAAGCAGTGAAAAGTGTTCGTGATTACGTAGCACTCAGCATTGTTGGCTGCTCATCGGGGTTCCATGCGATCTGGTACTGACGATTGCTGGTATCAAATTCGTTCCTATCAATCTTCCATGAGCCAATTACCGCCTATTAGGTGCATCCACGCAAGAAGGCCACCCTGCAATTTGCACACCTAAACTAGCTCTAGGCAAGAGCGTTGGGCCACACCTTTGTGAAATTGCTAGCGAGCATGCGTGCATTACATGACATATATGACGAGCGCATTCATCAAGCCTCATGCTTCTTTCTGCGAGAGGATGCAGGCGTTGTTGCTGGTCACGATTGCCGAGACGGCAGTCAGTCTTATTGTGCTGAGAGGAATTTGTCCCACCTAGCTTTGCAACTCTGGTTGTTTCAAACTCAGGTGACAATTGCTCGTACACATGAAAAGCTTCGGTCTTAACTGATACATCACGGAAACATTGTAGCTTTTTGCTCTTCTCCTGAGTTTACAATGCTACAACACCACGGTCTAAAGTGCGTACTTTTGTGTCATATGAACTCCGCGTATTGGCCTGTTAGAACTCAGTTTTCTATGTTGACTATTTCCGTTTGCGATGGTCATAGGACCCAAAGACAGGTACATACCAGTTTTTGTGAACTTTATCCACTCTGTAACGAGTTATATGCATGGGTTACGAGCTGCCCAACCGGCATTGCCGAGGTCCAATTTCAAGACACGTGACGTCAAGAAAACAATAGTTGTTAAACTTAACACTGCGCTCAAGCATAAGCAGCAATTTGGAAATGCATACGAAATGAAGATTGACGGTGTAAGCCGCAGATGTCATTCTGTGGGAGGAAAGTGGGGGTCGGTGGACAGACACTGATGGAGAAACATCCTTATTTTAAGAAGCATTTGCGCACGTCGTGGCACACCCTTTTATTGAGCGCCAGCGATTGCAGAGACCATATTACCGCTCAGAGACCATGATGCAACCAGGTTTTTTTCCGCTCCCCCCCCCCCCCCCTCACCCACATTTCTTCCGGTCCGCGACTTTGGTGCTTTATATTATTGCATGATTATTACTCACCTCTGTTGTGCGACAGACAATTCCATTTCAAATGTAACTTCCAAATCCAATTTGCATTTTTAGATCAAATCCAGTGAAACTAGGTGTATTTGTTCTATCTTTTTCAACGTGTGTGCATACTATCGACTACAGCACGCACAGGTGTTGAAATAACAAGGCAACCAAACCAATTAACATGCATAAGACTTTGCTATCCAACATGTAAACCACATTCATGTTAACTGTAAAACTACACTGGTAAACAAAACCCAACAAGGTCACTATGAGGTCCATTCGAAACAATTTGTAAGCTAACGAGAGGGTGTAGCCTGCTGAAATTTGAGGGGCACAAAATGACCGTCCGGCAATAGTGCTCTCAGCGCTGTTACCCGGCAGTACAGCACAATAGTGCTCTTAGCTCACGGCACACACAGCACTCACTCAGTGCTGTGTGTTACAGAGGCTGTCCGATGACGCTAAACAGACCAATGGCTTTGATCAATTAGCTGAATGTATAAGCTGTTTTAGCATGCTTGTGTTAAAGGCAATCTAACATTTTAAGTTACATGCCAACCAGCTACAGGACGTAATAGACGAAGAGGTTGAGAACAAAGACGACGTCGATGTAACACAATTTCCACCTGCTGGAGATGCCGACGCATGTCCGAACACCGAGACGTAAAACAAAGAGTACTGCCAGTCTGCGTACCAGTTTGTTCGTCTCTTCTTGAATGATGAGTTCTTGAATCTGGTCATGTGCCAAACGAAGTTGCATGCCAAACAGCAGTCGGATATGTTGTTCTGCGACTGGTCAAGGCAGTGAGACACTGGGCACTCGAAGGTTTTTCCCAGTGCGTATCGAAGTATACACATATGCCAGAATTGGGATTAAGAGCAGATTTGGGTTATCGTACCAAAAGTTGTCAATGCGGCGCTAGCGGCATCTGTGGTGTGGTTGTGGCGACGAAGTGTGCGACTTAGTGAGAGCAAGTGCGTTCTTCACATGCACCTAGGTTTGCCTGATCAATTTTGTTCTCTGCGCACTCACAATGCGTCTTAGCTTACGTATTATGACTCATTTGAAATATTCTGCTTCATAACTGATCACGTAATGACTCAGTCACTGCGCAGCGAGTCACCCATGCACAGTTTGGGGTAGGATACCGGCTGCAGGGTGCTAGATGACAATTGGCTGGTCAAGGTGTTCTAAGGTGTGCTAAAGCTGGAGTATGGAGTCTTGCTGTTTTTAATAAATGAATTGTTGAAAAAGATGGAATTGTTGTCTGATTAGCATTTCAGCATTTGATACATACAAGCATAAGAGTGCACATCTATCTCCATATGTGTTACCCATTGCAAAGGGGGGCAAGCATCAATTATTTCAAATCTACACTGCTGCATGACCACAGCAGATCTTTTCCTTGAGAGATACATGACAATATAAGGCAATGAAGATGTCTTTGGTCATGGTTTGTTATTTACACCTCCGTTCTTATATTTGGTCAAATACAGTTATCAGCCTGCATTGATTAAAACAGGTGTATACCTAATATTTGAAAATTGGCTAAGCTCTCCGGCATAATTCGGCCTCTTTGATACTGTAAGTTCTTTGCTTTCCAGATCACGAGTATTAATTTCCGTTAACTACTGGTGGACTGCGCTGAGCGCTGGACATTTCAAAGTCGCCTTGGCATTCATGACGACATAATAACGTCATGCATATGTTAACGGTCAATGCCAATAAAAACATAGTTGCCAAGGCTTTCATACCTGGCGTTTGTGAGCGCAATTTCGAGATATATAGCCATCAATTGTCTCTCAATCAATGTTGTGCAAGGCACGATGACGTCATCAAGCCACGACGCATTGCAAAGCATGTTTACTAAACGGAGAATTCTGCTGTCAAGAGCAGTCTTTCCCACCTAAAAAGTATATCAGTTGTTTTAAGTAAGCTTGTTTCGTCACATATGATGGATCAATATCTTCAAATGTGAAACATTCCCTTTAACGTGCGGACGCCTCTAGCGTAGAAACCGTTTGGTTCTCGAGTCCGCTCTGTCCCATGATGTCTGAGGCAGCGCCGCTGGTGGGACAGCCGGAGGGGCAGTGGACGGCAGGCAGCAGCACCTTCATCGTGCCACCACTGCTGTGCTGGCCCTATGATGGCATTGCCGGTCCTCCGCCCCACAAGCCACCAACGATTTTTAAGTTTAAAAAGACTGCGCTAGACAGTGCAACTCTCTATTAAGTCGATTTGCTCCTCAATGTGTCATCGTTTCATTACGTCCTTGTAGCCAGCGCAACATTGATTGAGAGCCAATTGGCGGCCGTTATATCTGGATATTTTGCTGACGAACGGCAGATATGAACGCATCGACGATTATCATTTTATTGGTCTTGATCGTCCCATGACTTAAGGATTAGAAGGATTTTAGGCGCTATTACGACGTCATGAACGCCAAAGTGGCTTTGAAACACTGCCCCATTTTCGCGGGCTGGTAGCTCAGAAACTAGAGGCGCGTGGGCCTTAAGAAGGGTGGGATTGTCCACAGCACCGAGGGGCCTCCGAGATGGGTTTACAGTTCAAAACCCAATATAAATGTGGAATGCTCGCTTTTAAAGGAAATGCTCCACACTTGCATAAAGTGAAGCACTAAAACTGATGAAATGTGCTCACATATGACTGAGATCATTTTAAGTGCAAAATTGTTGAAGCTACAGCACGCGATGAACTATGTGTTTGTGAAATGGTATGTATTGTACAGCTGGAAAACATAATGCATGGTAGCTTCCCCACCTCGTCATTTCCGTGCGAACCAATAGCTTGCTTTCTATAGACATCACCAACAATTCCGGTTTATACATATATAAAAAATATGCGCTTTTATATTTAAGACAACTTTGTGGTAAACAGAACACAAGTGAGATGAATTTAGATGCAAATTATTCGCCAATACCCGCTAAGTATCGGCGGCAAAGCCGAAACCAGCCAAAAGCTATGCAAGCGCGCGGGATTTGCCGGCTCCCTGGTTTAAAACCGCCCACACTGGTAGGTATGTTGATTTCAGCGTAGCATTCTTGCCTGGACGCACCAATAGGCAGTAATTTTCTCATTGCAAGTTGTATTCGCACGAATTCAGTACCATCATTCGTCAAAACAAGCTTTTTTGCGACCGCGATGACCGACCAACAAAGCTGAACGCGATGTCAGCACGAGGGCTTTTCACTACTTCGCGTATTTCAACCGTGAAGATAGCATGCTCCTCTCTTCAGCGTGCTAAAGTTGGGGATTTCAAATGGTCATACAACGTTAGGGGACAATGTGAGCGGACGCATCACTGGGGCGCCACTGGAATAGCGTCTCCAGAGGGCTGGAAACCGTTCTCATCGGCGACCCCAGTTGATGGTGATGGTCTGTCCTTCGGGTGTCTCGAAGCTGTAGCTGCCCTGCATGGCGATGCCGACCTCCTCGCCGATATTTTTGGGCGCTCCGGAGGTCTCCACGGAGATGGGGTCGGTGGTTTCGAAGGCGTACTGGAATGAGCCGTCCTCGTTCTGCGTGCTGTCCATGCGCAGCAGTTCGGCGGTGTTCTGGGGCGCCGCCACGGCCACCGCCACACACAGGCACAGCAGCAACTGGAAATGTGCCATGGTCAACGAAAATGCGGAAATGCTGGTAATGGTGCACGCTGCAGTGACATATGAAAGTGAACCTGCGTTGGCAAGTATTGCAGGTCACATGTTACTAGGGCGATGAATGCTGTTGATCTGCAGAAGGATGGATCACGGGAGGCGCACATCATGCTGTCTTTTCCAGCAGAAATTTAACTGTACTCATTCAGCAAAGCTTAAGACGGTTCTCGGCAAGTGACAGCACGTATAGTGGGTCACCTGCTAACTCCAGTATATTTTTGTCGGCATGGGCGTCATGGTAACGATAATTGGGGTTATCGGGCGGGTAGGCGTCAAAGGTCGTTATTCCTCCATAACAAACGCTACCCATGGTTGCATTTCAACTAAAAAGAAGTCAATAGAAAACATCACTTTGACAAGACACAAAGCCATCTAACCTACGTTTAGAAATCACATTTTAAGAGACAACACTTAGAGAAAACAAAACATGGTAACTATAGTGCACACAAGCATTGGCAATCGAACGAAACAGCCAGCAAAATGTTCCACATAGGTTCAAAGGAAAACGTTTTAAAAAATCCGGGAGACATTAAGAAAACAGCAAACCGAACAGCAGGTACACAGGAGGTACGATAAGTAACCGCCACATGGAGATGCGGCGGGTAAGGGAGGCATCCGCATCGGTGTCAGTCATCAGTTCGTCACCTGAGACTCACGTAGACAGACAAGCAAAAGAAGAAACCGCACCAGCGAACCAATACTTATTTAAGAACAGCTGCTTTATGGCATTATCCAACAACTGATGACCCCTAGATCATACGGCACCTATGATTACTGTCATAAAATCTGAAGAGTCCTCGATAGTTGAGCAGGTTTGTAAGTCACAAAGCAGTTAAGTGTGCCGTATGTCATACTCAGAGGTGGGATAGGGTTTGGTCTTCGTTGCGAATAGCACCAATCACCGCCCTGGTCGCACCACAAATGTTGAGTTCACAAACACAATCGCACAAAACGTATTGCGGGAGGGTTTACCAGCTTCATGATAGGAGTTGTTCCGTTCGAACTGGTGCTCAACCACGGGCCCCGCGACATTTTATATCCTACGAGAGCCTGGCCTGGCCCCAGGCTACCTTCAACCCGCACTTGACACAAGGCGTGTTATGCAAATGACACTACAGGGACAGGGCACTGCATTGGTTGGCGCCCATCACGTGACTATCCGTTGCGCGGCCACTGATTTGCATGCCAGAGGGCCCCAGCTAGACACCCTATCCGTCTCCCGGCGGGCCAAGGTGAGACAAAAGGAGGAATGAGCTATTCGGCGTCGGCAGGTGGGTAGGCGGAGTTCCAAGCCAACTGACATGGACTATGACGATGTCATCGAGGGCAATTGCAATGGCTGCCGTTTTCCTACATGTACTTAAAACCCGTGGCCTCGTGGACAAAATCAGTGAACGTGCATATTTTTGTTGAAATAACACATGCGTCAAACCCATCAAATATAATAGCCACAAATATACAGCATAGCAGCAGACAACCACAGCTTGAGAGCTGTGGCGCCAGCGACTAGCACTGACTTATACATTTTGAGACGATGAAATCCCAAGAAAAGAGGACATTCCAGGCTGGAATAATCTCACAGGACTGCGGACGAAGTTGCATTGTAGTTATCAAATGCACTGCAGGTAATTTTAGTTGAACAGGTTATGCATTAAGGTTGCTATGCAAATGGCATATGGTGCAGAAATCCTGCATTATAAATGTTATGGAGCTGAGAAACTTTATCTCACTCTGGCGATCGACCCTGTATTGTATTTGTAAGGACAGGCCAGCAGAAGGTAGGCAGGTAACACGAGCATCAGTCAAGTTATCATGTTCTCCTGTAATAAGGGTATACTCTTTTGGGGGATATGGCTTTGAAATGATGAAGAGACATCAACGGCTTGCACATTATCTGAGACGTTTACACCTTGGAAGCCGTCGTTCGCAATGTTTGGAGCCCTTCCTTCGCAATGCCATGCTGTTCCGTGCCTGTCTACGTAGCTGGCGTGCGCAAGACATACCTATTATTCACATACCGCTGTGTTAGGCTCGCGCTTGTACGCAGAACTACCGTGCTCGGTCCGTGCCTAGCTGGTTACCATGAGTGCCAGGCCAAGGACGTTCATGTTTGAGATGCTTACGTGTGTTGCTATTCTTAAAGTGAGTTTTCCAATTCTGGAGCAAATTTTAAAAAAAACATACTCCAGTGAAACCTCAGGACTCGCTACGTCTGTTATCGACATTGAGCGATGTCACTGCATCGCCTTGAAGACATAATAAGGACATCACTTTTAATTATTTCTGAGTCCAAATTACCCGCCGTCATAACAACCACCGTTCGCACCTCTACTGGCGCGGATGAAAGAACGGTTGTGATAAACCCAGCGGGCAGGGGCCTGTTACCGAGAAGCACATTGCTTAAAGTTTGAACCAGTGTGTCATATGGAGCATGTGACAGTCCCATTCCTAACGCCGAAGTGCGCCTCTTAAAGAGCCATTGTGGTTAACGTCGTAGGGCGGAAAGCATAGCCATGGCGTAACGTTTCGTTGAATTCGCAAGAAAATAACTTTATGTTCGCACATATTTTTGACTTAACAGCGTGTTTTAAGCATCCGTAGCATGTACTCCACAAAAAGTTTGACACATTGGTGTATTCAAATCGGAGCAGTAGAATGCCGGGTACTCCAAAGTATTGACTAGTAGGTATCGACACATCCTACAAGCATACCAGATCGGGATAAAGATCAGACTTGAGATGTACCGAAAGTTGGCAGTGCTGTGCTAGCGGTATTTTGGATATGCTTTATGCTGCTGCTGTGCTGTGCTTTATTCTTGTTCCTTTTCAATGAAGGAATACTTGATTATTGTTGTCTCATTGACCGTTGAATATTCAAGATATGCAATGATAACCTAGCACCACTTTCTACAAACGTGCTACCGCCCACTTAATAGGCCAGGCAGCAATTATATTCAGCACTGTCGCCTGATCATGTAAGGTACATTCATTGACACATGAATGACACTGTAAGATAGGAGAAAGAGATACCTGTTGTAATGTTGTGCACACAAGTGATACGACATTTCATCAAAAGAAATACCAGCCTGCACTGTTAAGGGTTGAATACCCGATGTCAAACACTGGCGAGTTAAAAACGTCCGGCATAATTCAGTTCATTCGAAATTGCAAGGTTATGTCCTTTCAGATCAGACGCATTGATATGTGAAATTTATTGGCGGCCTGCGCTGTCAGCTTCCCCCGGCCACCCCCACCCAAGGTGTGTTTCTTACTGAGTCTGGAACAATTCGTTTTGACCAGAGCTATTTTTATCTTGCAGTTTTGTTTCATTCATTCAATAGTCCAGCCAATACCATCAGATGATTTTCAGGGTAGGTGATATCACCATGCGGCATGTACCTCCACCTTACTTTTTTGTAATTTGCTGGCAACAATAAGAGAAATTCAAACCAACAGTCACTGCGACATTTCAACAAGGCGGGGAGGGAGGCAGAACCCCATTACGAAATCCCAATGCAATTATCTGCAATACATACCTTCTATTAAACGGTAACCTGTGCTTGGTAAATATATCAAATGCAAGTAACAAATGTGGTAGATAATGGGTGCAGTGGTTTGGATTGTACCCGAAATTAATAGTTGTTCAGCCAGATAACGGATCTTTGTCATTTATGCTAAATATTATGCTGAAACGATGAGAGCTTTCAAAATACAGGGCTTACAATTTCATTATGATGTTTTAGAATGTTTGCTTATCCGAGGGAGGATTTCAGCATTACAACATTTGTAGAAGCTGAAGTTTGGGTCAAGTTTTGCAATATATTGAATATTCAGCTGCAACCAATTCCTCAGTATCACATCTATTATACATCTTGCATAATTCATAGCAACACGATTTTTTGTAACAATTGCAGCAAATGTTAAACTGCAGATGGTGGGACAGCAATGTTGTATCGATTACTCATGATGCATATATATATATATATATATATATATATATATATATATATATCGGCGATTTCTCAAAAACTCATTCTTACTCAACACTTTTAATCCGTCGGTGACCGTATTCATTCCGTTTTCGATCTCAACTGTGCTGAAAAGAGTCGGCGGCAGCGGCGACGGGATTCGACACCGCGCTTTGACGTCGCGGCGCGCAAATATGTCTACGCTTTGCTTGATAACTCAAAAACGAGTGTCACAGCGCACACTTTTGATCTCGAAAACTGAGAGAGACTTGCTAGCTCTGTATTTCCACGCACTTTTTACGCATGCATGTGTTCAATATTTAGCAAGCCGTGGGCTTGAAATATGGCATTTTAGCATAGGACTCTAAGGGCTAGTCGTGAAATATGTGCCGTTGCTGCCATGTTTTATACTAGACTTTGGACCCCCGTGTTCTAATCATTGCAAAACAGACATATTGAAAAAGCAAGGCAAATGAAATGCGTTGCTTTTATAGAGGTGAGCGAATAGTCAAATGAGATTTCCCCCTTTGAATTTGTGGCTGAAATGGCAGCCGTACAATTAGATGGTGACACATTCAGGCTAGCTCCTATGTAATTAGTTTATTTACCGACATTTTTATCCAACAGAGCCTCGACATATGTGTTAGAGCCTTGTTATCAACAGCTTCTGAGACAATAGGTTTACCCACCAAAAATTTCAGGCTGCCGTGAGCTTACTTGCGCTTACGGTGGTGGGCTTGTTTTCATCTTCACTCACAACTTTTGTGGACAGAAGGAGAGGTGGGTGTGGGTTTCCATTTGGGTCCAGTGTTCGCTAATATTCTTATTTGTGATTATGAAAATATCTGGCTTGGTTCCTGTCCGACCGAGTTATCTTTCTTCATCGTATGTATGTTTATAGTTTCTATCTCCTTTTTAAGGGTAGGTCACACTTAATTTTCTTCCTTTATTTCTTAACAGCACGCATTCCAACAGTACATTTGCTTCGGAAAAGGAGTTCAGAAGGCACAATTCCCTTTCTGGACGTCCTCATCCACAAGGAGGGTGATCGCCTTTGTACTTTGGTACACAGAAAGTCTTGTTATACTGGGCTGGGGAGCAGTTTGTTAAGATTTATTACGGATTCATTCAAGCTTATATCACTATGAAGGGCTTTCTTTAGAGCATACCATTTCAACTCCACTGATCAATTCTTGCATGCAGAAATCGGGTATCCTAGGAGCCATTTTTGGAACAATCACTTCTCCCTGAAGCTCATTTATTTATGCGTTCGGAGGTCCCCCATTCTAAGCATCTTTCCTTGTCCACGCTCTGTTACGCTCCAAAACTCAAAAAGCAGTTTGTTCTAGCGCATTTTGGCCCATAATCTGAAAGACTTAAAAATAATTTTCAGATCCTGTCAATCGACTGTGGTTTTGTTGCAAGTTTGTTGCAAGTTTTGTTGTGTCACGCTTGCGGTGTTCCACTCATGACTCAAACTTTGGAGCTTGCACGATCGCATCCAGTGGCAATAAAATAAATCCACCCAGACTCGAACATTTCTTGCACTCACCACTCCTCCATCCCACAGCATTTATTTATGCATAATGCTGAAGTTTTGGTTTCAAACGAAGTATACTGCGGAGGAGATATTCCTCTTCTGTTTTGAGAACATTTAGGGGAGTTTTCTACATTTACATAGGGTTGTGAGCTGAAATTGACATTTTGAAGATCTTTCGGTGATATCTACCATCCTGCCCTGCTTAAAACCTAAATTCCGCTATTTTCTTAGCTACACGCACGCGACACTGGGCAAGATTATATCGGAGAGAGTATTTCAAAGTTGCCTTGCTTTCTGCAACGTCATAGTAACGTCACTCAAATCATGTCATTCTCTAAGCCATGTGGCGATCAAGGAAAAGAAAAACGTAATCGTCGAGGTGTCAATGAGCACAATTTCCAGATGATACGGTCAACATTGGCTCTCAGTCAAGGTTGTGCGCGGTACGACGACGCATCAAGCCATGACACATTCTGGTCTGACACGTCACACCAGATCTGATTTGCTACGACACAGGGAAAAGG